AGGTATGTGGGTAGCATGCCTGGTGTACTGTAGATGGCCCAAAGGACACCAGCCCTCAAAATACTACCCAGGCAGCAGGTAGGCTGGATATAGATTTTGTTCTTTTTTTTGAGACAGAGTCTCACTATGTCACCCTCGGTAGAGTGCTGTGGCGTCACAGCTCATAGCAACCTCAAACTCTTGGGCTTAAGTGATTCTCTTGCCTCAGCCTCCCAAGTAGCTGGGACAACAGGTGCCTGCCAAAATGCCTGGCTGTTTTTTGGTTGTAGTTGTCATTGTTGTTTGGCAGGCCCAGGCTAGATTCAAACTTGGCAGCTCCTGTGTATGTGGCCAGAGCCCTAGCCACTGAGTCATAGGCATCAAGCCCTGGATATAGATTTTTAACAATAAAGTAAATTGAGAGAAGAAAGAGGGTTTGGACTAGGTGATCTGGTGTGCTGTGGCAGTGGTAGCAGGGCTAAGGCTAAATCAGGGGCTGGGATAGTAACACAGATTGTTGCTGCTGCTGCTCTGGGTGGCTGCCTTGCTGGCCGGGTCCTTGGTCTTCTCTGCTTTTGCTTTAGCCTTGTTGGCTATCTCAACAAATGTTTTGAAAGGGGCCTCACCTTCTAGCTTGGTCAAGATGTATTAAAACTCCTTACAATCTTGGTCATGTTACTTTTGAAACGAGCAAGACAAAATTTCTTGACAACTCTGGTGGCACCAAATAAACTAGAGGAGACTCAAGTTTCCCAAAGGACTGGCTAGTGCTATTCTCAAAGCCCATACAGTACTTAAACTATCATTCCTTCATGCCATCAGCCAGGTGTGGTTGATGTTTCAGGTGAACGTGGTCACACTCTGTCTGATTCTGTGAGGTCCACACTGGAGTCCTCCTGGATGGGCATAGAGTGAGCATCATTGGCAGGAAATATTGTTTGGCCAAGTGGGACATACTGTTGGTCTCGCGGGGAGTCCCTGGGATAGGAGCTTCTGGGCAGGGGTCGATTCCCCGTGTGCTGTCTTCGGTCAGAACATGTTTGCCGTAGAGATTCAGGTACCAGGGCATGGGAGCCCAGCAGGCGTACATGCCCGCTGGGCTTGAGGCTGTCACCACCACCAGTTGCCTAACTCACTGCTTCCTCCTGAGCTGTTGTCCCTTTGTGCTGGGCCTGTATTTCTTGTATTATATCCAGGGGGAAGGAAAATGTACAGAAAGGGACTATCTGAGCATGAACCTAGTGAATGTAGTGAAAATTGACAGCCTTAGAATTGACTCAATTACCATGACATTTCTTTAGGGAAATTCAGACCATTGATGGGAGTAGGGGGTGGTGGTGAGGAAGGATCCACTTAGTGTCTTTTTTGCTTTCCCAATGAGAAGCAATTAGAAAAGGTAAATACCACATTTCTCGCATAATCTATGGCACCAGATGTTTTATTTCAGAACCAATCATGAAGGAAACTAAATGCATAATGATACCCATACGCTATAAAGCTAAGAATCTGGCTTTAAGGAAACAGCTCTAGTGACAAATATGCTTAGATTAAAATCTTACTTCTTCTTTTTTTTGTTTTTTTAGAAAATCTTCTTAAACAACCTATTTTATTCTTTTTAAATGTCAGTTTCCTCATTTGTGACATGCAGATAATATTTTTAACCTTATAAAGATGTTACAATGATTAAAGGAAATAATGTATAAAGTAGCGAGCCCTCACAAGTGGTAGTTACTGTAGTTTTTAAGATTAAAAAGCCATAATGTCCCAAATAAATATGCCAGATATTCATATTTCACCAAAGGTACACTTGCAAAGAAGTATAATGTCTTCATGTCACACAAGGTCTGATTTCCTGTGTGGTGCAACAGACATGTTCTAAGCTTCCCTCATTATGACTACTTAACTTATAAATAGGCAAGTCTCTAATAAAAACAAAGTTGTGCCCAGGTCTTTAAGGTGAGTTAACTACTGGAGGGCTTAGACCTCAAGCTAGTGCCATTTTCCATTAAGATAGAACCTCTCATAATAATGGTATCACAGAAAATAACTCACAGCTCATCCTCTGGCTAAGTTTATTGCTACCATATTTTTACTGGTAATGTATAGTGTTTATGTTTAAGGGACATAATTGGGCATGTATATATCCAATTGTGTAAAAATGTAACCTATATTTTAATGTTGTATAATATACATTTTTGGTGCCCAAGTTTGAGGAGAATGGGCTTTCAAATTCATTTCAAGTATTAAAAATGAATTGGGTTTGGAGAAGGAGGATGTGGAACTAATGTATTTTTTAATGCAAAAATCTGTTGAGTACATTTTCGTATTATCTCTCTGTTTCCTCATACAGCGTCCTTATGTAGAAAAGTTTAGAGATATTCTACAGCATTAAAATGTTGAGAAGTCACAAAAGTCCTGTACATTTCAATTCAGATATTTAAAGAAATGCATCTCCTTTTTTTGAAATTATCTTTTATTTATAAATATTAGTTGTCTATTTTTTTTTTGAGACTTTGGAAAAAACAAAATAATAAGAAGTTAACTTATCAAAGTATTCTATAATAGTCATACTTCTATCTGACAATGTGAATGTTACTTTCTTTGCATTATTACTATTATTATTGCTTAATAATTCATTGCAGCAATCGCCTGATTTCTTTTCTGAAAGTATTTATCTTCTTTTGTTCTTTATGAGGTTTTAGTTCTCAGTCCTTATGTTAAATATTATTATTGTCATTAAATTTAGGCTTTTAATTCTGTCAAGGCAAAAGTGGAAACCTAATATACACATATATATGTAAGAAAAATAAATTAAAAAAATAAATAATATGTTCACCTCAAAAAAAAAAAAAAAAAAAAAACCCCAAAACCCAACAATCCCATTCATCAATGGGAAAAAGAGATGAACAGAGTCTTCTCTAAAGATGATAGATGAATGGCTACTAAGCACATGAAAAAATGCTCATCATCCCTAATTATTAGAGAAATGCAAATTAAAACCACCCTGAGATATCGTCTAACCCCAGAGAGATTGGCCTATATCACAAAATCTCAAAACTGCAGATGTTGGCACAGATGTGGAGAGAAAGGAACGCTTTTGGTGGGACTGCAAATTAATACAACCTTTTTGGAAGGAAGTATGGGGAAACCTTAAAGAACTCAAGCTAGACCTCCCATTTGATCCTGCAATCCCATTACTGGGCATCTAACCAGAAGGAAAAGAAAACCTTTTATTATAAAGACACTTGTACTAGGCTGTTTATTGTAGCAATTTACAATCGCTAAAATGTGGAAACAGCTTAAATGTCCTTCAACCCAGGAATGGATTGGTAAGCTGTGGTATATGTATACCATGGAACATTATTCAGCCATCAAAAATAATGGAGATTTTACAGCATTTGTACTAACCTGGATGGAGGTGGAACACATTATTCTTAGTAAAGCATCACAGGAATGGAGAAGTAGAATCCTATGTATTCAACTTTGGTATGAAGACAATTAATGACATGATGGGGCATGGGGGAAGGGGAGACTAGACAGAGAAGGAGGGAGGGGGTGTGGGCAAGGAAAAAAAAAGAAAGAAAATAGTGACTAATTCTCATATAAATTGTATTTAATTTTGACCAAAGTACATTACTTAAACATTAATTTTTAATTCAACATGTTAATATGTTGTTTATCATATTGCTTCCTCATTTATAAGTGAAATGTGTTTGTAATTTCCCCTTTATAATAATATATTTTCTCCAATTTTAATATCAAGTGTATCCAGATTAAGTAGAATGATTTTGAAGTATTTCTTTTTCTATTGTCTATAAGATTTGGCATGATCTGCTTTTTTGAAATTATCTTTTACTTTTATTTATAAATATTAGTTGTCTATTTTTTTGAGACTTTGGAAAAAACAGAATAATAAGAAGAAGTTAACTGATCAAAGTATTCTATAATAGACATACTCCTACCTGACAATGTGAATGTTACTTTCTTTGCATTATCACTATTATTATTGCTTAACATTTCATTGTAGCAATCGTCTAATTTCTTTTCTGAATGTATTTATCTTCATTCGTTCTTTATAAGGTTTTTGTTCTCAGTCCTTATGTTAAACATTATTATTGTCATTAAAAAAAAGAAGAAGAAAGAAATACATCTTTATATGGCCTAAATCAATCTGCTCTTCCTGATAGCTGGATAATGTAGAAATTTTAAAATTTTCATTCTGTCTTGTTTAAAGTTAATCTAATCTAATAATGTAAATAGCTTCTTTGGATAATGTTCAATCTCTATAAGGAAGGAAAGGTCCAACTTCCACTCCTTTTGCCCTTATAGAAAAATGAGATTTCTTTCATACCCTATAAAGAGAATACTTTATGATACAAACTCTCCATACTTGGTTGATGATAGTCTATAAAATAATTTTAGAAAACTCTGACAAAGCAAGAATCCTGATTTTGAGCTTATAATTGTTAAGTAAATCCCATTTTGTCAGAAACCACGGTAGTCTTTACTGATATCCACCAAATATTTACAATTTTCCGCCCAAGCATGTGGTAGGATTGCCTTGCTTTGTTCTTTTGAAGTTAGGTGTGGCCAGGGACTTGCTTTGGAGAAGAAATTTTAATCAGTAAGTGATTTGCCATTCTCTCTTTCTGCCATGGCAACCAGGAATGTTGCCAGATAGTAGTAGCTACTTTGTAACTTCATGTCCTGGAGTGTAGACAACACGGAGTGAAACTTCTGCCAACCCTTGATACTTATATTACATGAGTGAGAAATAAACTAGTGTTGTGTTAAGTCTCTAAGAATGAAGAGGTTTAGTTACTATGACTCACACCAAGTGAAAAGTTGACCGGCAATTCCTTATGCAGCAAATACTAATTTGCCCCCAGGCAGATGGGTTCCTTAGCCAATTTAAGCAAATAGGCAATCAGAAGGGCGAAATAGAAAAATGCTTTAATAACTTTCAAAATGAATTTCTTTCACAAGCATTTCTTATAACCATTTCTCCTTCTGCATTTCAGATGAAGATCTTTGACAAAAATAAAGATGGTCGGTTGGATCTTAATGACTTGGCAAGGTGAGTGACATGGAAATGATGTTATAGATTCAGAAACACCTTCCTAGGAGTTTTGTGATATATACTTCCTTTTGAAACTGGAAATCAAGTTTCACCTGACGTCCAAAAGAATAGACACAGCTTAAAAAACCACACTAGTTCTGAAACTTTTGGGGTAATGGATCCTTTTGTGAAAATAATGAAAGCTCTTCTCTTGAAAATGCACAACATATAATCTTTACACAAAATTTTATGGATGAGTCATGCAAAGACACTACCCTCAAAGGCCAGACATTCATGGACCTCGCATCATGATCTCATAACAATAAAGTCCTGAATCTCATTCACTGGTTTCACAAATGTTGAGCAGTGAGTTCAGGACACGGGACAACTGAGCCTGACTCCAGGTGCATTCTGTAGTATTCTGTGTGGTGTATCCTCAGAGAGGCACCATGTGCCTGAAGGCTGGAATCATAGGAGGACAAGATAAGAGCAGAAGTGGCCCAGTGTCTTCAAAAGCGTTGTCTGTGAGTCTGATGTAACATGTGATTGGTGAGACAGTATGTTTTGTTAAGGCTAGCTCACCTCCAACAGCATGCAGTCAGATCATTGGATCCAGAACACGTAGATAAAACCCAACTGCCACCAGCCAGGTGCTTGAGGTTGGGCTGGTGGCGATTGTAAGCTGAACAGTGATAGGGCAGCAGTTTCAGGCTGGGAGCAGCAGGGGTAGCTGGTAGAGAATTCCAAGGGCTAAGGGCATATTCCATGACAAGAAGTTAACTCAACAAAGTCGCAGGCAGAACTTAGTTTTGTCTCTTAGTGAATCGTAACCTGAGTCTAGAATCACTAAAGGCTGTGCCAGTGGTTTCCTTGGCATCTATCTCTGCCAAGGTATGGCAGTTATCTATGAAAGAGATAGACCAGGAAAAATCTCTCCTCAGTAATTACTATGACATTGTTGACCCCCTCCCCCACTAGATAGTTCTCTATCTGGGTCTCATAGGAACTGTGTGCAGTCTATGAGTCCTTTTTGGCTACTTTACCTGGGACTTTTGTCCTAATTTTGGCCATATTGATAAAGAAGAGCCCCTGAGAAACCAGCCAAAGAGGGACAAAAGTTTTTCTCCCATAGGCCTAGGGCAGAAGGGATGTCAGCCCATAGTTGTGCCTATGCACTCTGGATCCCACCTGGTTCTCTAGGCTAATTGGAGCAGAGTTCATCTCAAGTAAAGGTCAGAGAGCTGCATGAGAGAGCCGGTCCTAAGAAGAAAACCCAAAGCATCCAAAGGATGAATTCAAAAGATGATGATCTGGGTGGAAACAGAGCTGGCCATCCACCTGGTGGCCTGACTCAACTGTGTACTTCTCAGAGATAGTGAGAGTTGAAGAGCATTGAGAGTCCTTAAAGGCTGGAGAGGGTCCCTATCATTGAAGAAGGCCCAGAGCAGCTGCTTTCTGCTCTCTTGGTCCCAACATTCTTGTCTACTACTGAGATAAAGTCCATAGGCAATATGACCTAACCAAGCACATAATACTAAAATAGCTAATATTAATGCACAGGCTATCACATGTAAAGGAGAAACAAAAGGAAAGTGGTTAATAATAAACTATTAATAATAATATAGGGCGGCACCTGTGACTCAAGGGAGTGGGGCACCGCCAGAGGTAGTGGTTCAGGCCCAGCCCCGGCCAAAAACTGCAAAAAAAAAAAGGTATGTTTCCATGTATAAATGGTTGGAAACAACCACAGTCAAGCCATATAAAGTAGTCAGAAGTAGTCAGATGCCAGCCTCTGTGTAGAATTACCATAAATAAGAGGGCAGCTCAGACACTGACTGATACAAATACAGCCTTTTGGCAACTTGTATATCAGGAGCTCAGTCGCTGTTGATATAATTTTATAAAATAATAAAAAGTCTTGATAGAGTTTCAAACTAAACAAAGTACATTTATCCTTCAACTAACACAATTCGGCATGCCATATGGAATATATATGTAATTAGTAAATTGTGTATGCCTTACAAAAATACTATGAATTTTTATGTAAATAAGAATTCAGTTACAGGGTCAAGTAATTACAAACAGGGCTTTTACATACATGATTACCCCCACTGGGCACTTGAAAAATCAAGTGAGACATGGAATAATTCTTAATTCTGTGGAAATTTCCATGTAATATGGGACATCTAGCATCCCTATTCTTCTTTTTTGAGACAGAGCCTCTAGCTGTCATCCTGGGTAGAGTCCTGTGGCATCACAGTTCACAGCAACCTGCAACTCCTGGGCTTAAGCGATTCTCTTGCCTCAGCCTCTCAAGTAGCTGGTATTACAGGAGCCCGCCACAATGCCTGGCTATTTTTTGGTTGTAGTTGTTGTTGTTGGGCAGGCCTGGGCTGGATTCGAACCTACCAGCTCTGGTGTATGTGGCTAGTGCCCTAGCCGCTTGAGCTACAGGTGCTGAGCCCATCCCTGCTGTTATGTACAAAGTGCCAGTTGTGTTTTCTCTATCACTATGACAACTAAAAAGCCTCCCTGCATACATCCATACACCTCACAGAGATGGAACTGCTGTGACCATGCCTGTAGGAGAGGAACTATGCTTTAACCTCTTGAATAACTTCTCACCCAGTGGAGTGTTATATAGGAAGAGTTGATGGGTAGTAGTGGATTCAAGAAGTTGAAGTGGAACTGAATAAAGATGGAAGGCAGTACCTTTGCAAAAATAGTACAGTATAGTTATCCCTCAGTATCTTTGGGAGATTTGCTTCAGGCAGGAGCCCTGCAAATATTAACATTTACAGATGCTGAAGTCCCATAGTCCTGCAGAACCTGTAGACACTGAAAGCCAAGTGTATTTCAAAACCAATTTGCTATGGAATTTGAAAATGATACTTGTGGTAAGTAGAAAAATGGTGTCTATATCCTAATACCTGGGATCAGAGAACATTATAGAGCAAGAATGAATTAAAGTTTCAGATAGAACTAAGGTTGCTAATCAATGCACCTTAAAATAGGTTATTCTGATTTATCTGAGTGGGCTCAATATAATCATAAGGGTCCTTTAAATATGGAAGAGGAAGACAGAGGTCAGAGAGAGATTTGAAAATATCTTAATATAACTACTACATACATGTTTTGGAAAATTTTGCTCCTCTGAACGTCCAGGATTTGAAAATGCATGCTGCTAGCTTTGAGTGGAAGAAGGAGCCACAAGCCAAAGAATGTAGGCAGTTTATAGAAGCTGAAAAGGCAAGGCAAGTGGTTCTCCCCTAAAGTCTCCAAAAAGTATGTAGTCCTGTTGATATCTTGATTTTTGCCCACTAAGATCTATTTCAGACTTTGACTTCTAGTGCTATAAATTAATGCAATTTATTGAATCCACTGCATTTGTGGCAATTTGTTACTACATTACTGGAAACAAAGAGTTCTTAAAACAGTTATACTTCGGAATTTTCTTTCTCTAATTTTAGCTCTGAAATGCAACCCAGTTACTCCCTATAAAAGCTCCTCCCAAGTGTATGTCTTCTGAGTTGGCAACATGGTTTTAGGTTGCCTGGTGTGAACAAATAATATGGACAGTATTGCTTGCAGACTCTCAGGATTTTTATCTTCTAATTGGCTCACATTCTCTCCACCATGGGCATTTAGAGGACCAAAATTTTTCAAAGCCTATACTGGTATTATTTTTTTTCTACTTTTCTTTTTATATACACCTATGATTATGAATATAGCATGAGTCCAATGTTTTTAAGTCTATTGAAACCAAACTTAATTCCATTAAAACAGAAAAGAGATGGAAATACATTTGCTTTCTAAAATAAAAATAAGATGATTAAAAAATTGATATATAATTTACATGCCATAAAATTTACCCTTTTTTCCCTTGAGACAGAGTCTCACTATGTCACCCTTGGTAGAGTGCCGTGATGTCACAGCTCACAGCAACCTCAGACTCTTGGGCTTAAGTGATTCTCTTCCCTCAGCCTCCCAAGTAGCTGGGACTACAGGCACCTGCCACAATGCCCAGCTATTTTTTGTTGCAGTTGTCATTGTTGTTTAGACTGGATTGGAACCCACCAGTCTTGGTGTATGTGGCTGGTACCCTAACCACTGAGCTAGGGGCACCAAGCCCAAATATACTCTTTTAACATTAACTTCCATGTGACTTGTATTTAATGAATGTTAATTTTAGCCTGGAACCTTGTAAAGAATATATAGATCACACCTCTCTTGCACATTGCCACATTAGAAAAAATTTTTGTCTTTGGGGCCATAGCTTTATTAGGTCAAGAGACATGTGAGTTATATAAACTTTGTCAGGCTGCAGGCTCAAAACTAGTGTGAGTCTAATACAACTTACATGACAGTTAATGTGCTTGACCTAATAAAACACTGTGCCTCCCCCCAATTTTTCTAGTGTGGCAGTCAATGTGTAAAATTCAGTAATTTCCTTATACTTATAAAGTTGTCCAATTATCACCAGCATCTAATTCCAGAACCTTTCAATATGCCAGATGGATACCCAGTTCCCGTTCCATTAGCAGCTACTCCCTTCTCTCATCTACAACCTCCTGACAACCACTAATTTACTTTCTAATTCTATTAATTTGTTTATTCTAGGAATTTCATATAAATGAAATCATACAGTATGTACTTTTTGTGTCTGGCTATTTCACTAAGCATAATGTTTTCAAGGTTCATTCATGTTGTGATATAATCCATACTTTATCCCATTTTGTGGCTGAATATTCCATTATACACATATACCACATTTTATTTATTCCTCACTTGATAAACATTTGGGTTGTTTCCACTTTTTGGATATTATGAATAATGCTGCTGTGAACTTATCTACTCAAGTTTTTGTGTGAATATATGTTTTTGATTCTCTTGGTTATGTACCTAGGGTTGGAATTGTTGGTTCATATGGTAATTCTATGTTTAGTTTTCTAAGGAACTGTAATACTATTTTCTAAAGTGGCTAAACCATTTTATAGTCTCACTAACAATGTAAGAGAGAGTTGCAATTTCTCTACATTTTAATTAGCACTTGCTATTTTTTGCATATTTTGATTAAAGCTTATCCTAGTGGATGTGAAGTGATATCTCATTGCAGTTTTGATTTATATTTTCCTAGTAGCTAATGATTTTAAGCATACTTATACTCTTATGTGTTTACTGGTCATTTTTATAATCTTCTTTATAAAAATGCCTGTTCAGATCCTTTGCCCATTTAAGAAATTAGGTTATTTGTCTCTTTATTTTGAGCTGTAAGAATTCTTTATATATATTCTGGATGGGTTGACCAAATAGTTTAGTCTAATATCCAGATATATAATCCACAAATGCATTTTTCTCTGTTATGAGTTGTATTTTCATTTTCTTGATGGTATACTTTGAAGTACAAAAGTTTCTGGTTTTCATGAACTCCAGTTAGTTTTGGTTGTATCATATCTAGGAAGCCATTGCCAAAGTGGAGATTTACCCACATGTTGACTTTTTTCTTCTTTTCTTTCTTTCTTTTTTTTTTTTTTTTGAGACAGTCTCACTCTGTTGCCCTGGGTAGAATGCTATGGTGTGAGAGCGCACAGCAACTTCAAACTCTTGGGCTCAAGCGATTCTCTTGCTTCTGCTTCCCTAGTAGCTGGGACTATAGGCACCAGCCACAAAGCCCATCTAGGTTTTCTATTTTTAATAGAGATGGATCTCCAACTCCTGAGCTCAGATGATCCACCTGCCTTGGCCTCTTGGAGTTCTAGGATTACAGGCATGAGCCATTGTGCCTGGCTCCATGTTTCCTTCTAAAAGTTTTATAGTTTCTGTTTTAAGTTTTGGCCTATGATCCATTTCATGTTAATTTTTTATATGGTATAAGGTGGAGGTCCAATTTTATTCTTTTGTATGTGGATGTCTACTTGTCTCAACACTATTTATTGAAAAGACTATTCTTTCCTTACTAAATAGTCTTGACAGCCTTGCAGAAAATTCATTGACCACAATTGACCATATCAGTTTATTCCCAGACTCTCAATTCTATTCCATTTATCTACATGTCTATTTTATGAAAGTACCACACTTTCTTGATTCTATAGATTTGTAAGTAAGGTTTTAAATCAAAAGTGTGAGCTTTCCAACTCTGTTTTTTCCAATAATTTTGAGATTATTATTGCTATTTTGCATCATTTGCTTATGCATGTCAATTTTAGGATTGGACTGTCAATTTCTGCAAAAAAGCCAACTTAGATTTTGATGAGGATTGTTTTGAATCTGTAGGTTAATTTGGAGAATGTATTCATCTTAACAATATTCAGTCTCCCTGTATATGAACATGAGATGTCTTTCCATTTACTTAGGTCTTCTTTCATTTCTTTTAACAATGTTTTGTGGTCTTCAATCTATGAGTTGCACCTCCGTTAGATTTATTAAGCATTTTATTATTTTTGATATTTTAAGGAGAATGGTATTCTTTATTCTGTTTTTAGTTTGGTCATTGCTAGTGTATACAAGTACAATTGAATTTTGTATGTTGACTTATAGTGTGTAAACTTGCTATTTTTTTTCATTAGCTTTAGTACTTTTTTATTTGAGTCCTTAGGATTTTCTACATATAAGATTGTATCATCTGTAAATATAGTTTTACTTGTTTTTTTCTATTCTTCCAATCTCTACTTTTGGTGGAATATTTAACTTACATGTGTTTTATGTCATTATTGATAAGGTAGGATTGGTTTTCTCTTTTTTGTTCCTCTAATCCTCCTTTATTGTCTTTTCTGTGTTAAATATATATTTTCTAGTATACTATTGTAATTCACTTATTATTTCTCTTATGTTTTTTGAGTTATTTTCTTAGTGGTTGCCTGGCAGATTACAATTAACATCTTAATTTAGAATAAATGTGATTTTGGTTTAATAACAACTTAATTTCAATATTATACCAAAACTTCACTTTTAAGGAGTTTCAAATCCTTCCCTTCTCCTTTATGTGGTTAAAATCATATCTTAATACTTTGTGTGCTCAATGACACATATTTTTAATTATTGTTTTATGAAGTTGTCTTTTAAATCAGATAGCAAAAAAATTACAAACTCAATACATTTATGTTGTTTTTCATGTTTATTTATATGTTTATTTCTACTGGTGTTCTTTATTTTTTCTTTTTCTTGTTTTTATATTTTCAAAAAGATATTTTATTTTATTTTTTTATTGAATAGTAACTGTGTACATTAATGCACTTTTGGGGTACAGTGTGGTGTTTTCACAAACAATCTGAAACACTTCCATCAAACTGGTTAATACAGCCTTCACTCAATTTTCTTAGTTATTGTGTTAAAGCGTTCATATCCTGCTCATAGAACAATTCACTTGTACCCTTGTAAGATGAACCACAGAAGTGAACCCTCGAATCCCCCTCCCTCCACCCATTCCCCCCTCTTTATTTTTTCTTTCTTTTTTTTTTTTTTGAGACGGAGCCTCAAGCTATCCCCCTGGGTAGAGTGCCATGGCATCATGCTCACAGCAACCTTCAACTTCTGGGCTCAAGCAAGTCTCCTGCCTCAGCCTCCCAAGTAGCTGGGACTACAGGCCCCCACCACAGCGCCTGGCCATTTTTTGGTTGCAGCCATCATTGTTGTTTGGCGGGCCCAGTCTGAGGATTCAAACCCGCCACCTTAGGTGTATGTGGCTGGTGCCTTAGCCACTTGAGCCACAGGCGCAGAGCTGCCTCTTTATTTTTTCATGTAAATTCAAGTTATTGTCTAGGAGCCCCTCCATTTCAGCCTAAAGGACTCCCTTGAGAATTTGGTATAGGACTTGTTTATTATTGTTGATGATTTTGTTGCTGTTTATTTGTTTATTGATTTTTCTAAACTAATTGTATAAGGTTTGTATTCTTTGTCACATATGTCCTCTGATGTATCTGCTTGGTATCTTGATGGTTAGTTCATAAGTACACAGAGATTTTCTTAAATGCCTGAAACAAATAAATCTCCCAGTCTTTGCTGACAGATTTTATGTGTGTGTTGAGGTAAGTTAAATGCCACAATATTCATTGCTCTTACCAAGATTCATCTGTTTCTTCAGAATAAACATTCCCTAGTTTGTTGTAAGACTATTTTCCAGAGTTCTGAAAAAGTTATTCTGACATTTCCCCCTCAGTTTTCTTATTGCTTTTTTGATGGAGAGAATTTTCAGAAGACTGTACTCCATCATTTTCTAACAAGATGAATTTTTGAAAGTCTCTCTGCGGTGTTTACTAATCCTTATGAATCTTTCCCAATTAATTTCTTTGTTTTTGTGATGAAAGAATTCCTGTGTTTCCAGCACCTATTCTACTCTTCAGGATAATGTGGAAATTGCCTGTCCTTTCCACATACCAAAGCTGTAAGTTTATTTGTAACTGAGAGCTGATATATTATTATGTGAATTTTTTATTTTTTTCATTTAGGATTCTGGCTCTTCAGGAAAACTTCCTCCTCCAATTTAAAATGGATGTAAGTGCGCCATTCTCTCTATCGGTTTATGTCTTTTATCTTTCTCTATGAATTTGAGAAGGAGAGGAAAAAATGCGAGTCTCTATTTATCCTACCTTTAAACTTATTTAGAGATAGACAAGGCTCTCAGTGGAATCCAGGGATCTTAAGGGTCATTGACTCAAAGTTTATAAAAGTTACCCAGGACCCTGAAAGAAGAGTACAACTGGATGTTTTTATCCATAAATAGGCTTGTTCTACTGAAGAAAGGAAGAGGGACTTTGAGAAGATCTTTGCCCACTATGATGTTGTAAGTATGCCTCTTTATATTGTGCTGGCCATCTTTGGGTAGGAAGCTTATCTAGCTCCTATGTGGGGTCATCCTACCAACAGACCCCAAATTATGTGATGAACAGTAATCTCACTTGCGTGTTGCTAGGTCAAAGTACCCTCTGCTTCTCTATATAGCTTCAGAGAATTAAGTAAAAATAACCAAAGGAGTATCTATGGTTTAAAGAGAATAAAATTACAGTTTTTTTTCCTTCTTGGGTCAAAGTAAGAAAATTTTCTCCTTCTTATTGGACTAAAGTCCATTATAATAGTTATGTAAAAAACAAAACAAAACAAGACAAGCACCCCCCCCCCC